AGGGCATAAGTGAGTTTCAAGGACGGTCAGGCCTCTACTATATCATATTCTTTGGTGGGAGTGCCGATGACGCAAACGTATGTTGTTATAACATCTTATTACACTTATTTACTGGTAGTCTCGAAACCCTACTCTTATACGAATCTCTCCTTCTGTTCTGAGGTATTCACCTATCCTATATCCTCGTATCACCTCCCCAATATCACAAATTCTTACTTGCTTTTTTAAATGTGGTATGGTGTGTTCTTTTGAACGGATTTCATGAGACCTCTTCATACCCCACACAGATTTTCTCACCTACTCGTCTCAACTATTGTGTTGGGAATGTCAATCCGGGCTTGCCTTATTAATCCGCAATCCTCTTCCCGTAGATTCTATCAGAGTCGCCCTCTTGTTCTGTGAGATGCGTCCCTTACCTCCGTAAATCAGGTATTTCACTCGCCCACCGCCACTTTGTCTGCCTACTCGAGGCGTTTGTTCTCACACTTACTCAATACTTTGATGACACACATACTCCCACCTCAGTTGGCAGGCACCAAAATCTGTATTCTCAAGCTGGATGGCTGAATAACTTGAGGCAATAGATCGTCTTATCACCATGCCCACCACGTAATTCTCTTTGTCAAGCATTTGCTTCATGGACCAAGTCTATGATCAGACACGTCGGACTGGAGCTAGTTGGCTAACTGTAGAAGTATGAGTTGTGTTCACCCTATTTCGTTTACGGTGATGAAGGAATGGTAGTTGAATTCTCCTACAATGGTATGAGTAGACATGAAGTTTCCATTGCATTTCCTAAGACCTTGCTGTCACAAAAGACATTCCCATCCAGGCAGGACTGTACAGCAGTCTTGACCTTGCCTAGGTCTTATCAACACCCCCAGCGGGACTCGAACCATAACAGTAAGCGCAGCTCATAGATCTGATTTACTGATAGTCTCGAACACCTAGTCCAAACGAAATATGCGTTATTTCGTCGATTGCTATATCAAATATAAGTCTGCTTCGTCAGCAGTACCACCACAGGATGTTATATGGAAAAATTTCTGGTCCCGCTGGGGTGTTGATAAGACCTAGGCGAATTGGAAACTGCAGTCTACCCCTGATGGAACCACCTTTTGGTAGCCTGCTCACTGATGTGGGAGTATATGTGTCATCAAGGTATTGAATAAGTGTGAGAACAAACGCCTCGAGTAGGCAGACAAAGTGGCGGTGGGCGAGTGAAATACCTGATTTACGGAGATAAGGGATGCATCTCACAGAACAAGAGGGCGACTCTGATAGAATCTACGGGAAGAGGATTGCGGACTAATAAGGCAAGCCCGGATTGACATTCCCAGCACAATAATTGAGACAGGCAGGTGAGAAAACCTGTATGGGATGTGAAGAGGTCTCATGAAATCCGTTAAAAAGGACACACCATACCACATTTAAAAAATCAAGTACGAATTTGTGATATTGAGGGGGTGATACGAGGATATAGGATAGGTAAATACCTCAGGACAGAAGGAGAGATGCCCCAAGTGTTTAGCACACATTTGGTCAAAGGATCTACTTCTCTTGTCTCTTTGACCAGTTCTAGTTTTACGTTAAGTTTAGCAAGGCTCACTGACGATGTCGACTATGATGTTGGCGAAAAGTCTGTGAATGTACCAAGTCCACGGTCCGACTCTGCAATTGATCATGCATACTATGGACTCCGGATAAGTTGCGTTCCTCCTGCCAATATGACCGAGTTTCGAAAACAAGATCTAACAACTATTATACAAACTAAGAATACCGCGACCATACAGAAGGCCACACCATCATGGCCTTCCTACCTTCGATTAAAAATACTAATGCTATATCAATCATTTAAAGTATGTATATATGTAAGGAGAGTGGGTCGAATACGAATCCCTTTAAGAAAGAGTCCCAGAAGAGGTCGTAGCTTAACTCCAGGCCAGATGGGAAAATCCTTTGGAGGTCATGATTTAGTGAACTGCAATGGCATCATGAGGCCTAGTCACTTCATTAAGGAAGGTCTCCATTATAATTTCTTAAATTTCCTTAAGTGACCAAGGGAGATTTAATTTTAATTCAAGAATAACCAATAATTTTGATGCATACTCATAAAAAAAGCAAAACAAAGTTCGTCAAAACTTGATGGTCATGGAAATGAGTTTTGCTTTCTTTTAGTTACATGGACCCACCATAATTGGTTTTATACACGTACGAATGCATGAATGGATATAAGTACATGTTTCTGCAGTTGCCGATTCCCTCCACACCTACGAAACATCTGTAGATGTACTAAGTTCAGGGTCTGAGTCTTGGATAATAATAACTTTCTGGGAAGCAAATTTTTGTGAAATCCAATGGAATTCACAATCTAGTCATATTGTGGGAAAATCAGCTACTAGTCACCTTATCGCCTTAAAACGAAATAGGGTGTATACATCTCATATAACTGATTTACTGGTAGTCTAAAATCCCTACTTATAAGTGTCTACTCAATTTTATACACTCGTTTCTTCCATTCAGGAGGTTTGCTGGTTTTTAATTTCCATAGCCTTTCTCATTTTACGCTTTGATGTAAAATTTCCGTAACCAGTAGAAGGTCGGGTTTTGGACCAGTCCATCGAGTACCCTGTCTCATCTGTGCTTAGAAAAAAACAGATTTGTGTACCTATAGACCTGTACAAGCGGTTTTGTGTTTTCATAGTCTCTTCTGGATGGCTCTTCCCCACATAAACGCTACCATATGAACGCGAAACCTTGTAGTAACCTGATCTAGTAAGAGGGTCCGAAAATTTTCTAAACGAAGGAACCAATGGAGAGAGTGTTGGTTTTTCTTAACACATTTTTCTGATGTTCCACTTCCCCAGTAGATCACCCAACGTTTTCGCAAGCTTGTAGGAAGACACAATCCCGAACCGAGTAGAATGGTCCAACTGTCTATCTCGCCTCAAATAGCAACATCCGCTCATCTTGTCACTGACAATTGAAATGTAATTATCTATTAATCCTAATGGGCAATTGTATTGAAACAATATATGCTCCAATCTACCAATTTAACGGTTCCTGTGTATTACGTCTGCTAAGTGCAGACTTGTTGTTAGCAATGATTTCATAACTCCTATATTGACTCTATATTTATGATTGGATAAACAATTAATGAAGAAACATGGTGGGTGTGGCTTTTCTATACACATTTCTGCTTAACTTATTACCTTCTTTGCTCCCTAATAAATCCAAAAAAGGCAATCTATCACAATACATTATTAGAGAATTCTTCGAAACCCAGTTTTTCTTAACACGTTATGCATTTCCTTTATACTTACAGATGGGTCAAATTGACTAATAAAGAAGATGATGTGGTCGCATCTGTTTCTGTGCGTAAATAAACAAGCGTTTGTTCATGCTATATCAGCATATGTTTAGGTATGCCGTATTGTGATAACCTAAACTTGCTTCTGTTGCTCAGCGGTAGTACTGTCGATGAAGCAAATGTATATTTGCTATAACAATCGACTACGTTACTTATTTTTCGTATTTAAGTAGTTTCGAGACTACCAGTAAATCAGTAATAAGAGATGTAGTCTGGGTGAGAACAACTTTTGGGAAAACAAGCCATTGTGAAATTCAATGGAAACGTCAGCTCTACTCATATCATTGTGGGAAAATTCTACTACCACCCTTCATTACCTTAAACGAAATAGGGCTTATACATCTAATATCGCATTACTTATGTTTCGTTTATAAGTAGTATTTCGAGACTGTCAATAGATTATATATATGAGGTATATTCAACCTGTTTCGTTTAAGGTGATAAGGGAACCAATCTTATGCTAGAATATGACGTCCCAGTAACCTGCTGAATTCTGTGTTTTGGACCGCTCTATTGCTTGTCTTGAAGTAGCCATAGGTTATCATGAAGTACCAACCAAATCTCCGAGTGCCTCAGTAAGATATCAAAACTAGGTATAAGAAGTGAATAGGTTTGTAGCTGGCCCTACTTCTCTTCATTCAGTATGTTAGTTTGCTTATATGTATAGTATGATTTCTTGCTCTAACGATGTATATCACAGAGGTGACTGGCAGATCTAGCACGAGATGATTGAGATCGCAGGACTGTGAGCCAACGACTTCTTGGCACATTCCAACTGTCTTCATTTCAAGGCTATCCTCTTTCGGTTTAGAGTGAGACCTATTGACGAATTTCCTTTGATCAACTTTTCCTTCGAAACGAAAATTTGAGTCATACTATGGTACAAAGTTTGCCTGATCAACAATCCCACCACAGAATGTGATATGGCATAGGCTTGCCTTTTTTAGAATTCACCCAAATATTAATTTATCCCTGGGTCCGAATCCCATTGAGAGTGTTGATAGGATAATGAGGCGAAGTTGAACCTGTAATCCAGTCCAGTCCGGATGAGAATGTTTTTTTGAGAAGCAGAGCTGCATTAAGTGCACTGGAAGCATTGTGAGGAAATGCAGCTCTTAGTTCTTCATTACCTGCCTATCTACTTATATCGAAAGTGGGCGTCTGAAGCATTCTAATTTTGCTTAAATTGTGGCATCAATTCGAGATTCTCCCAGCTTTTTGATGAGATAATTAAGAGGTGTAGGCCCTTGAATATGATGACTGGCAGCAATGGGAGTCCGCGAGGTCTATCGTCAGGCTGGCCTCCTACCAACTAGTTTCCACTCGATTTGGTCTAATTTCTGTCCCATTCGGCCAACATTTTGGTCTATTCAGGTGGTGCTTTCACTCTTCAACAATCTCTCCTTTGTCGACCTGTCCAAATACCTCAAAAGCGGCACTTGGGACATTTACGAGTGCTCCGGTGAAGTGGTGAACGAGACGACGGGCTCGCAGCGCTCCATGCAAGTGGTGTACACAATCAAGCTGCGCCGAAAGACGCTGTTCTACACGGTCAATCTCATCATCCCTTGCGTGATGGTCTCTTTTCTCAGCATCTGCGTGTTCTATCTGCCCGCAGATGCTGGCGAGAAGATGACCCTTAGCATCAGCATTCTCTTGGCTTTGGTCGTCTTCCTTTTGCTCATCAGCAAAATCCTACCGCCCACCTCCACTTCGATCCCCCTCATCTCGTGCTACCTCCTCTTCGCCTTTATCATCAATATCTTCGCCATCCTCGTTACGGTGATGATCATCAACTGGAACTATCGAACGCCCCGGACACACGCAATGCCCCACTGGCTGCGCTGGGTCTTCATGGAGCGTCTTCCCGTCCTATTGGGCATGCAGCGGCCCGGACATGTGGTTGCCGAGTTGCAAGTACAGGCCTACCTCAAGCACTCCCAGCAACGGGCCGTTCGAGAGACGTCGAAATCGGCCTTGGCAGATGAGCCGGGCAGACCAAGAACGATAGGCCTAACGCGAGGCTGTACTGTTGGGAGTAGAAATGCGGCAGTCGCACTTGAGTTGACCAATCGAGCCCGAGTCTCGAGGCAGCCACGACAGCATAACGTCAGCTCGGCATTCGGCGCTCCAATCCACAACCAGTCACTATGCGCTGAGACGCTGAGCAACCGATGGCGACGGAGTTGCCAGTCCTTCTCGGAAGTCGAGGCCGGACAGGCCGGAACGGAGACTACCGAATCGTCCGGAAGACAGACGAAGCCGGACGGACGAAAGTCCGTCTCTGAAAGAAGACGCCCTGACGACCGGACTCACGGTGTGGACGAGAGCGAATCCAATTCAGGATCACCGGGATCTGCGGGTGTCAGGGCGACGCTGGCAAGACGAACAATTCGACCGGCTCCGTCTACAACCCACCCGTCCAATGGTCCAGTTGTCGGGCTGATGACCACGTCGTCATGGCAGCCAGTCCAACGGACAGAAGTCTGCAATGGCACCTCGGCTAGCAGGGTTGCCAGCGATACTAGTTCGTCGTCTGGCGGTTGTCTCGCGCCAGAGACGGCCGAGATGGAGAGTCGTTGCCGAGCCGCCTCAAAGTCCTTCGGTATGGACTGGAGTCTGGCCGACCAGAATGCTGGGTGGGTGGTGGAGCACGAGAGTGGCCATAGCAACGCCAGCGGAGGCAGCGAGGGCGATGAAGAGACGCCGGCGTCGGCCGGCCTCGTCTACACAAACGCTGAGACGCTTTATTTTCTCACTGAACAGAAGCAGCCCTCGTCGCAAACACCGTCTCCGTCTCCGTCGCCTTCGCCGTTGGCAGCTTCGCTCGACCGGCCGACACGGCCGGCCCGGTTGGTGTTGACGGCTCCGTGCGGCTGCCAGTTGGCCGGACGCGTGTTGGTCGACCGGTCGGCAACGGCGACGGTGACGGCGATGGAGGCGACAACTCGTCTGGCGGACCGTCGAGCCGGCCGAACAGCGACGTTCGACAACTCGTCGTCGAGTCGTCTCGACCTGCGTCGATCCCGAGGTGCCGGTTCTGTACCGGACACCGACCCCCCTTCGAACTCGGACGGCAGCGCCGATGAGCATCAGCCGCCCTCGGTGCTCCTGACACCGTTCTCGCCTCTTCCTCCTCCTCCTCCTCCTCCTCCTCTTCTTCTTCCTTCGCCACTTCAACCCACTTCGCCCTCTCGATCCTCCACTCACCATATCGAGCCTCAAGCCCTGGTCGGAAAAGCTGGCTGCCTGTCGGTCGAGCGAACCCATCGCCAGCCTCGGACTCACCGGCCGCCTCCGGCCGGACAGACCAGCGCCGCCTCGACGGCGACCCGGAGGGACTCGGACCGCGCCGGACGGCGTGGCCTGGCCTGCCATTGGGGCGTTGACTGGAGCGCAGACGTGCGCAAGGCGGTGGTGGCGATCAACTACATTTCAGCAAAACTGCACGCGGAGGCCGAGTTCAATATGGTACAGCTGTTGGTTTACCATTGTTCAGCTCATTTCCCTTGCGAGAGAAAGTGTGTGGGATAGAGATTTGAGGCTTGATCCTAGCGGAAGACGATGGCCGATTCTGATAGGTCAACTGTTTCCGATCGGCTTGACTGGAACATTCTTGTAGACGGTGTTTTCGAGGCAATCTACTTCGAGTCCGGTGAAAAAGTGATAAGATTTCATCCGTCATAGAATGGAGCAGGATGTCATTCTTGCGAGCATTTTTGGGCTAACGAGTAAAGAACATTTTCTGGCTTATCCCTAAATGTTGTATCTGTACCACAAACCTAAGTACAGGAGAAATTACCAAGTGAAAAATGTATTGCTGTTGAAGTAACGTTCATTTCATATATGAAGACTAAGATGTTGTGGCCTCTGGTATGGTCGCAGTCTCCTTTCGATTGATAGAAGTGGGTTGACCTCGTTGTCGAAACATGTTGTGGCCTCTGGTGTGGTCGCAGTCTCCTTTCGATTAATTGGCTGGTCCGAGATGGAGAAGATGCTCTCGCGAGTGGGGTTGTGAGCCTAAACGGGCAGAAGTGGGTTGTTCTTGTGCTCAGGGAGACCATGTAGAACGCACCTAGTCCGAAGTCGTCTGCCATAGTAGTTGTCATGATTTCCAGCATCTGATAGTGGACTTAACGCCCGATAGGGCGTCAATGGGATAAGAGGGTAAAGAGAAGATAGATAGGCCAGGACAGAAAAAGGAGTGATAGTGTAACCGTTTTCAGCAGAACGTTTGTCGAGGGATG